GAAGAATAGAATATCTTTACATCAGATCCCCAAGGAAAGCAGATTAATGTGTTGTAAACATAACTGTCAGACCAAATTACCCATCTATACTGTAGCAGAGAATAACCATTTCTCATGAGAGAACTAGCCACATACCTGCAGTGCTCCTAAGCATTCAAAATGCAGTGGACTCAACAAGCATGATTTGGGCTGCTGTTGGTTGTTTTTTGTTTTTGCTGGGTTTGTTACTCGGCAAAAGAAAAATAAGGTTTAATATTTTCCCAATGTGGGGATAAGGAAGGAGGTAGAAGTGAGAGAACTCAATTCCTCCCTCTCCCTGCTGGAAAAGGTAGCCCAAACAGTTAAGGCAACATCTAGTGAAGCCATCCCCAACACACTGCAACCCCAGAGTCCAACTTCACGGCTAATCGTCTGGGATGATGGAATTTGTAGTCCAGAAACATCTGGAGTGTGCCAGGTTGGGGAAAGCAGGTAACACTGCAAAGTTAGCATTTATTAACTGCAGGTAACCAACCATGTTCCAATTATTGTACATTGAATAATATATTATTTTGGGTATACTATAACCTTAAGCAGGGTCGAAACTAGGCTTTCTATCATGCAGGGCAAAGGCCCAGTTTGTCAACCCCACCCCCACGTGCGTTTGCATGCGTACACACACACACACACACACACACACACCTCAACACATTTGTTCATAAAGGGCATAAAAAGCAGTTTGAAAGAGGATGGAGAAGAGATAGTCCCTCCAAATAGTAAAATTGTGTATTTATCTGGCTTTCATTCAAGATTAAGTAGATCTCCTCAGAGGGTAATAGATCGTTTGAGGAATTATAAGAAGCATTATGACTATAGTAATAATAATAGTAGTAGTAGTAGTAGTAGTAGTAGTAGAAACTGTGATAGTTATCAGGCACATACCAACGAGTAAGTCCTATTGAACTCAGTGGGACTTATTTCTGAGTAGTAAAGGCTCTAAAGAATAAATACTGTGCAGGTTTCCTTTAAAAATTGCTGGCTGCTGAACCATTGCAATTAAAGAATTTAAAATGGATCGGCTACATTTTCCTTCCAAATTACAGGAAGGGATAATAATATATAATAATAATAATAAATATAATAATAATAATTTTTTATTTATACCCTGCCCATCCAGCTGGGTTTCCCCAGCCACTCTGGGTGGCTCCCAAGGTTAAAAACAGAATAAAACATCAAACATTAAAAACTTCCCTGAACAGGGCTCGAATGTCAGCATCATATTTCTTTCATTGCAGGTATTTTATTTTCAGTATAAAGAGGACTCAGTTTTTGTAGCTGATTGTATGCCCTCTTTATGTATTCACATGGTGTAAATATGTATGTTGTCCTCTAGGTCCACACACAGAGAGACGGGGGGGGGGGGGAGCGCACATATTATAAGCAAACAGTACTCCAAAGTGCTTATCTTGTGAATTTGCCATTTAAATTGTTTAATCATAAGAAAAGCACCAGTTCCCAAAAAGGACAGGAGGTGGTGTTCTGATTTCTTCACCACTTTTTATTGATTTCTGAGACGTTGAGGGAAGCAAAAGAAGAAAGCAACAAAACTTCCCATTTTCAGTGGTGGCCCTCTAGGGGCTTCACCCTGGGCTGAGACCCTTGCTAGCCTCCTGTTAGCCACGGCCCTGCTTTAAGTAAGCTATTGAGATAGGGAAGGGAAGAAATCTAAATAAATTAAACTGCACACCATCATTACAGACTTTGCCAGAAGTTGGAATGACTTGCTTCTGAAGGAAGTACGGTATGTCCATTTTTTTCATAGTCACATTTCTAGCGACTACCACGCTATTCAGCTCAATGGGACTCCTGTTTCCCTTCATATTCTTTCTCTCTCAGCAGATGGAAATATTTTCCTGGTCCTGTTCTAATCTTCCTCTTTTTCATTTGCTTTTATCTGCAATACTGAGTCATTGGGCACAAGCTTTTACTTGGATCCTTGATTTGCCACCATCTCCTCTGCAGGGGCACTTGTATTCCAAGTCTAGCCCTCTAAGCCTGGCTGCTGATCAAGAGGAAAAGAAAACAGGCACCACAGATACAGAAGTTGGGTTTTTTTTTTTTGTATTTTTGGTATAAGGAAAAGTATACTTAGGTATAATATAATGGATAATTCCCTGGATGCCTAGATCAAGGTTTGGGACAAATACTCTTTGGTGAGAGAGCCCCAGCAGAGATTTAAAATCACAAAATAGGCAGCAAAGTTATGCATGGATATAAAGGCAGTTAGACCTTTAAAGCACCCCCTTCTAAGTTGCTTCTAAAGTTCTCCACCTCCCTTAGCATAGAAAAAGATCACACATTTGGTAAATGGATTACTCAAAAACTTTTCAAATGTCAGATTCATGTGCTTTTCCATACAACATTCAGAAAAGACAGACAGTGAAACTTTTGTTCCAAAGCTGTAAATGTTTCTAAATTACTTGTATAAAAACACAAAGATGGCTTGTTTAAGCCATATGGTCTAAGCTTGGAGCATCCAGCTTAGACCTCCTTCCTGGTAGGGCTCACATGGTAGAATGGGGAGAACAAAAAGGCTTGATAACCCTTCCTCCCAAGGTGAGGGGGGCAGCTTACTTTAATACATTAATTAGACTTAAGCATGTTGGTTATATAAGGCTGAGTATCCCAAAGTATTCACATGTGCTTCCTGCCCAGTGGCATACAGAAACAGATCCCATGTCAATGTGCATACATATGACTGCTACTTGACAGCAGGGATGAGGAATCTGTGGCCATCCAAAGTTGCTGGGTGCCAACTCCTACCAGCCACAGTAAGCACAGCCAATGGACAGAAACGATGGGAGCTGTTGTCCAACAGGTTCCCAACCCTGCTCCTCAGGGAAAGGGACAAGTAACTCATAGTAACTATCACCTTCTCCAGAACTTAAAGCTTTTATGCCTTCATTCTCATTATCAAAATAACTCTGCTTTCTGTTAATGTTTACTTTCATTTCTCTCAGTCTGCTGCCTTCTGAAAATGATTAATTAAGGACACTCACCATAGCCTTTCCTGGACCAATTCCTCATTATACCCCTCCCCCAATTAAATCAAGCCTCACATGATATGCCTCCTGCTTTTCATTACAGGGCTTATATTGCACTAATTTTGTCATTCTTCTCAACAACTACGTCAGAGAGATTCTATCAAAATCCTCTTTGGAAATCAAAGTAAACAGCATGTCCTTGAATAGTGTTATTTATTGCCCAGAAACCTTTTCGCATATGACAGAGCTGTGAAGTTCATTTTACTGCAACCATGTTGCCTGGACCTTCCTAGGTTATATGGTTTGTCCAAGCATTGCGTTTCTATGGCTGTAATTAGAGAGGCTTCGGAATCAGAAAGATAATTGCTCTATCTAATCACCCCCACACTTTCATTTACTGAGTGTTTGCTAATAGAAATTAATTTAAGAGACTCTTGATAATAACTGTGCCATTTACATTCTGATCCATCATATTAAAAAGGAGCAGGATGACAGGAAACAAATGCTGTGGACAACTCTGCATTGCTTTATGCCCACATGGGACTGTTTTAGAAGCATCACAAAGCCAGATGCTCTGGGCCATTTTTGAACTATTTTAAAGCAGTATCATAGGAGGTTTCCAGCTACCCCACTCTTTGCCCTTGGAAGCCTTGCAAGTGGCAGCAGGAGAGGGACTCAGAGCAACAGCATGGGAGGGGTGTTTCTAGGACTAAGCTGAAACTGCAAAGCTCCCTTGTTATTTTTGCTACTGGGTGCTGCATGTTAAGCAATCTTGTTATATTTATAGTATTGGAATGTGGTTTTCTTTGATACGTTATTTTATTTGCTATTGCTCTGCTGTGCTATGTTATTGTTTTGCTATGTCATTATGAAATAGTTTTTGCAGTGTTTGTTTGAAATGCATCCCCGTTTCTTTGTTGTAAGCTGCTTTCAGGCATAACTCTCTTTTTTGTAGAAAAGCAGCACACAAATAAAATGAATGAAAGAATGGATTTATCCTTTATTTGTGTACATTTGCTCCCAATATTTTATTTCTGAAATGAAGGATGCCAGGGTTCAAGAGTTCGTGTCCTCTGCTCACCTATAATTCCAGAAAACTATGGAGAGGGGAAAACCCTTTGCACATGTCTAAAAGCATATTCCATTACCAGGACTCAGGCATGGCTATTGGCTGTGCTTAAGGAAGGCCAATGGGATTTGGGAGCCCAGCAGCTCACAGGATTCTCACCAATGGCTTAAGCTTTGGTGATTCTTTTATCAAAATAAGGGGTGATATTCAATGACCATGTCCCATCAGGCAAGGATTTCTACTTGTGCAATGGGACCTTCTTTCCTTCTCTATGCACCCCACAAACGCCTGAATCTGCTCCAGAGGGTTTGCAGAAAAACGTAGAACAAATTTAGGTGAGCGGGGGAGGGAGAATGACAACATTTCATTGTGTCAGTGGAAATCCTTGCACTGACAAATGGTTAACGGATTGTTACATTGGATACAACCCATCGTCTATCAACTGGACATGAACAATTGCTCTAGTTAAGGAATGCCTAACTTTTAGACCTAGCAAAATGTGATGCGACAATAATTCTGTTTAATTGGAAACTGAGGGAGTAAAGTGAAAGTTATGTCTCTGAGGCCTTTCTTAGAACCACAGTTTACTACATCCAGAACAAAAACACAAGGACAACAGTAGCTGATACAACAGAAAGACAGGATCTCAGTCCCAAGAAAATGGAGCATCTGTACCAGGAAAATAAGACACATATCTAATAATATGATCTAACATATCTAGGAAAGAAGACATTTGGAGATGGGTAGTAGGTTCCCACATCTTCTTTCATACTTGATCCATGTATTAATCACAAAAAGCATTGAAAGGATTCAGGCAACAACATTTTGTGACAACAGCACCTGAAATTTCTCCTAAGCATCTGTGTAAAACCTTTACATCATGAGGGAAATTTCGGGTAGCAACTTACCACATAGCATGCATGTAAGTCGGAGGTAGACGAGGGCTGCTGACAGGTGTGCAATTGTAAGACCTCATTATCCTTTCTGCCAATAAAAAGTTTCGAAAGAGGCTTGCCACCAGTAGATCCTGCCTGAAGAGCTTTTGGAAAAGATCTGCAAGAAAGACAGAAAAATGGATGGCACCTATAAAGAGCTGGAAAGTAATAAAAAGCATGGGGGGGGAGGAAATGGGACACCTGAATAAATCCATGTCCTCTGGCAAGAATCATTATCGCAATAGTTAGGCCTGCCGTTGTATATTTAGGTTTAAAACACACTAATAGATTCTGGATGAGCCTTCAACTGAGACTTTACACTTAGGAGTCAACATTTATTTTTTGTTTGCATAGTTTTAATAGTGGAAATAATATCCACTGAGTGTCATTCTGATACCTGCCATGCAATACCCTAAAGCCTCCAGAATGAGAACAGCTGTCAAAGGGCAGAACTATAGCATACCACAAGGGGTTAAAAAAGGGGGGAGCCAAAGCACACAAACACAAAGACACTTGACATGGCAAGGAAATGAAGTTTGGTAAGATCCTACTTTATCCGTTCAAAATGTTCTCCCTTTTTTTGTATCTCAGTTCTCATTGCTTCCTATTTCCCCTCATTAGTGCTTCATTTCATACTCCTGCTCTCTTCTATTATGATCAAGCTATATATATTGCCAGTAATTCTGTAGCTTATATGCCATAGCTTTACCTCTGGGTAGGACGTTCCATGCAATTGTATCTGTGATGGCTGTAAAGATCCAATTCAATTCTCCCAGAGGCGTTCTTCTGTCATTGAGCCTCCCAGGAATTCTGCAAGGAATAACGAAATATTATTGTTAAAACAGAAACATGCTAATCTATTCCAATGCCCACAAAAGTGTTGCAAAAGGAAGCTATCCTTTATCCTTATGTTCTAAATGTAAAATGTACATTTTTTGGACTTAGGCTACAATCCTAACTATGTTTGCTCAGAAGTAAGTTATATTGTAAGTAAGCAGGCACATGCAGAGCTTGTCTTAAACCTGGGGCGGGAGTCTTGACCATGAGACACACTGCTGTGGCACCACTGCCTAATCTGATCAGATGCTACACGCAGTAACAGAGGTCCATATTTTACTATCAAAGCCTTGGGTACTTCGTCCATTAAGTCCTCAGTAGGCTGGGAGGCACAGGGTGTTCTTGGCATGACTGCATAAGTCTGTCAGGTCTCTGGCATGGATCTCTAGCTAGCTTAGCCCTTAGAGGCCTTGGGGCAAGTGCACCCGTCTGCCCCCTGCCTCTCCATGGGCTTGTAAGTAAGACAGTTCAATGGGGCTTACTCTCAGGTAAGTGGGGTAAGTGCAGCCTTAGTCGACCCCTGAATATTTTCTTTCACATGGTCATTCTTCTCCCTGTTCCCATCTCCCATGGCTTCTTGCCATCTCACAGTTCAAATAATGAACTAAAAAGGCTTGAATTTTGAACTATGTTAAAGAACATAAAATTACTGGAAGCAAAATCTCCTGGATACTTCAGAATAAATGCTAATAAGCAAGTGGGGAATACTTTTATGATCTGTTTTCCAACCCCAACCCCTAATTATTCAGTAAGGATGAACTACACACTAAATCATTGAATGGATTGACGAATAAACCAGTGAAAGTTTTTGAAAATGAGCAGCTTAGAAAATGTGGGGAAATTTAACAAATCACAATGCATAACTAAACATCTAAATGAAATGGCATAGTTGACTATAACCATCCCTCCAATAATCCAACTATAAAGTTACTGGATGAAGAAGCATAGTATCTTCCTGTGAAATAAAATTTCACAATAAAGGTCCTAAGGAAAAGTTGCACAAATTATTCTTATGAAAATAAAGCAAAGCAAAACAAATAGCTTCTTGTGAAGATCAAATCTTTGGTCTAACTTCATGTTATCTAGTGTTCTATGTCCTTACTCAAATATTCCATTAAAGGTCAGTGATGATTTCCCCTGATATTAAAAACAATCCAGTAGGCAAATCTAACGGATGCAGTTGGGACTGCTAATGTTTGCTAAGGAGGCCAACTGTAAATATTTGTAGTAGTAGTATAACTAGTAAGAATTATTTTAATGAATTTTAGTTTTATTTAAGGTATAGGAATCAATTTTGCTTTACTGCTGTATTCATTTATGATGTAAGCCATCCTAGAATTGCAGATCAGATCGAAGAAAGAAAGAAAGAAAGAAAGAAAGAAAGAAAGAAAGTTTTCTGTGCAATATGGCAGCCAGTTGTGAACATCATTTGATGCATAACCAAAATTACATTGAAGGAAGCTCCACTGAAATCAATGGGAAGTTGTTCTAATGAATTAGCTCCAGGGAATTAAAAAATTGCCCCCAGTTATTTAATATTTCAGTTACTGTATTGCATTTTAATCCCATCCTTCCTTCAAGAAGCTCAGAGTGGCATACATAAATTCTTACCCACTCCAAGTTTATCCTCACAATATATTCTGTAAAATAGGTTAGGTTGACAGAGATAAGCTTACAGTCACATACTGAGCTTCATGGTTGAGTGTGGATTAGAATAGTAAGTCCAAATCCAAGATGGCGGCGCGTGCAGACGCTGCGTCTGAAAGCTCCCTGGAGGGGAGTCAGGGTTTGTTAGGATATAGTTTTATGTAGTTTTTCAATTTCATTGTTCCGCAAGGGAACAGATATCTATCTATCTATCTATCTATCTATCTATCTATCTATCTATCTATCTATCTATGTGACACAGTTTGCTATCCAAGGTACTCTTCACCTGTATTTTAGAGGTCATATCAAATTTTTAGATGGATACAAATTGCTATGCCTTGCAATTACAGATGCAGAACTGCATGTTAGAAAATAGTGTCAGGTGGGATCAGATAGGAATATTGTAGCACATTCCTAAACCACCCATCTCTGTTATTCAGATTATATAACAGCATTTTTCTGGGTAGGTAACTGACCAATCAACTAACATTTAATTTCTCATATTGAATCTGTAATTTCTCAAAAGGTGGCATAGGTACAACTAAGGGATTTCAATATCGTAGATATCAGCACTCTAAGAAAGCATTAATGTAGCTGGAACATTAAGTCCTTCACTAATGTGTAAAGTTTTAAAATACATATAACCTTCAGGGACATCTTATGAAGGAGACTGTATTCATTAAAAAATATTAGATTCATTAAGACAAGCAGTTCTCTCCCCTCCCCAAGTTTCAGATGCAAAGCAAATTCTACAGAAGATTCCCATTTTCCTTTCAAAGATTAATATAAAATGCTCCTTTTTCTCAAAGAAACCCTCAAACACTTCAGGGCTTCTGAAACACTAACACTGTAGATCTGGTGTCCAAACACAAGCCAAAACAAATGATTAGCAAACATGATGAGCACTTAAATTAGGCTTAGCTTTCAGGAGCAGTATGTTTTAGGATGATGGTGAAGATACACCCATATGAGACTTAGTTTCAGCTGGTATTGGCTGGTTCTTGGATTAGGTTGTATCCACAAAATAATCTTGTTAACACTGCTTGCACAGTGGAACTTCCCGTCCTTCTCTTTTGCCTGTGTACTGACGTCTGTTCTGGGGATTCTCCCCACCCTCTGGAGCGTATTTGCTGCTTGATTGTACTGCTTGAACGCAGCTGCTGAGCACTCATATTACAACAGTGGGGAGAGAAAAGTGTACGGACATTCCATCGCGCAAGTGGAAGTTCTTGCGCTAGTGGGATGGTTTCATTGGATATAACCAATAGTGTTCTATTCAATTATATCCCTTCACACACTGAAGGCTCTTCAATTCAGTGGCGGTTTCCATGGACAGAAGGTGGGTAGAGCAGTGATTTTTGTTGATTCCCCTTTCCCTCTACTGACTGCTGTGCCACATCTGTTCCAGAAATTTGGGGAACTCTAGGGAACAACATGGAAGTGACATACGGTGCAGCAGGAGAGAGGAGGATTTTGTGGGTTTTTGTGTGAAAATCACCATCCTTCCTTGAGGCTTCTGCTGAAACCAAGAGTCTTCCATGAGTAGAGAAACAATTGAATACAATCCATATGAATTATTGTTACAGTGGTACCTCAGTTCTCGAACGAAATCCATTCCGGAAGCCCGTTCGGCTTCCAAAACGTTCAAAAACTGAGGCATGGATTCCCATTGGTTGCAAGAGCTTCTTGCACTCAGCGGAATCCGTGTTGCAAGTTCAGGTTCCAAAAAACATTAGAAGCATTTACTTCCGGGTTTTCGGCGTTCACGAACCGAAACATATGACAACGGAGGCTTTCGGGAACCGAGGTTCCACTGTACTACTATATTTCTGCTGTTTTAAGTCTGAATTCAACTGAATAGTTGTGCCAATGGAAACTAGCACAATGGGGCTTTCTACCCCCTCTCCTCTCCACCCCATACCCTCTCAGATCAGCTCTGGGAAGTTGGAAGAAACCCCAGAACAAGCTGGGGGACGAGAGGGGAGATTGTTGTGTCTGGCAAGCAGAAGTGCTTGCAAAGATGGAACAATTGTAACCGTGCGATGCTGAATTCCTCCCTTAGTGTTTTACCACGTTGTATTTAATTTTACTGCAGGAGCAAGTGCACGTGCTTGATCTGAAAGGTGGAGTATTTAAAGTTTTACATAACCAGCTCTATACTACTTGACTAAAAAGATGGTTGTGAAAGTGGCGGGGGGAGTCAATTGACCGATACTTTTCTTTGTGTAATCATTTTCAGTTTTAGGAACCGCCCTACCATTAGGCTGAGTGAGACTATTGTCTTAAGCAGCTGATTTTGGATGTTAGGAAAGGGGAACAAATTGACGGACTATTTCATTTATCTTCATTGCACTTTTACTTCAAGGGAGAGGAGGAAGCACTCTTGGAATTTTCTGCCTCAGGTGCCAAAAGATATTGGCCAGCTTTTAAGTGTTACGTTCTTTGGGGTACTTGAGGAGGTCTGTGCCATTTGCTGCTCTTCCTCGGAAAGCAAATGTCTTGGGCCACCCTGCTTGCCTGTGGCACATGACTCTTCTGAAAGAGTCAGAGAAGCAAGGCGTAGGGCTCAGTCTGCGGAACTCTTGACATGAGAACACGCAGCGGTGGTGGCTTTGCATCCCTTCCTCTACTTTGCATGCAGTGACCATGGGAGACGTTGAGAAGGGCAAGAAGATCTTTGTTCTGAAGTGTTCACAGTGCCACACAGTTGAGAAGGGAGGCAAGCACAAGACTGGCCCTAACCTGCATGGTCTTTTTGGCCGAAAGACTGGTCAGGCCGAAGGTTTCTCTTACACAGAAGCCAACAACAGCAAAGGTATAACCTGGGGAGAAGATACACTGATGGTTTACTTGGAAAACTCCAAGAAGTATATTCCAGGAACCAAGATGATATTTGCTGGCATTAAGAAGAAGGGAGAGAGGGCAGATTTAATATCATACCTTAAGGAGGCCACTTCAAACTAATGGCTTCTGCTGCCTTATTTATTTCACCATACAAATGGAAATGTCTCTCTGATGAGATTGGTTTTTAAACTTTCTATTTGTACATGCATTATATTGTAACAACTTCAAAAAGCCTTCTCGTCAGCCAGAGAACTTTTGATCATGGATGGTTCTTAACGTATGTACTTATTCTTATATTATAATTTATAGAATTGTGCAGTCAGGCTTGAATAAGTACAGTCAGGGTGACTGTAGCGTTTCCTGGTCATGTAATTAAAAAACAAACAACCCCTGTCAGAGAGAGAGAGAGAGAGAGAGAGAGAGAGAGAGAGAAGCAAGCAAGGTGTAATGCAGTCTAGAGACTCTTCTCCTCTTCCCAGTAAACTTCCAGAGTGACTCCCCTTACCTCTGCAAAATTACCATGGGTCTCCATTTCATGTTCTTAAAGAAAGAGAGAACAAAGTGACACTAATCAATTCCTAACTTGGCAGCTTCCCAAGTAACAATCTCTAGCCCACACTGTTCACATCCCTTGAGGCTTGGCGGAAATGGCACTAGCACAGATTCACAAGCTTGAGCAGTTGGGGTAAGAAATCAATTCAAATCCCTGCAAACAGTGAAATGTTTACCCAGTGACCCTTTCGTCAGTGAAGCAGAACTGACAGTAGCTCAAAGTAAGTTTAGTAGTTGATAAAGCATCCAATGATTCTGCAATTAGTTTGCTGGAGATTAGAAAGGCTATATCATGAGATAGTGTTCATTAAATGCTTAATAGACTGTGCATTCTCTGCAAATCACTACTGTATATCAAAAAGTGCACATACAACAGAATGAACAACCTCCTTTACTGGTAGAACAGGTTCCATCCACTCAAGGGGACAAAATAAAAACCTGTGCTTTAAAAACCTCTAAAAAATTTTTGGACAAACAGGCCACAGTCAGTCATTAAAATTGTTCACCCCTCTCTTCACTATTTTGCCATTTTGGGCAGGAGCAAGGTTAAGCTTTGCTGAACAGAGGCACTGATTTTATAATGACCTATGCCAGTAAGCTGTAGGAAGAAATGGAACTTTTATTAAACTGCATTAACAGAAAGATTTTAAATATATATTAATGTCTAGACATAGAGCTAAAACAAGCTCCTGTCCAAGCTCTAAGCCCATGCTGGGGGGAGCAGCCACTGAATGTATCTTCCATCCTTCCTTCACTTTTTTTTTTTTTTTTGAGGTTGTAGCAGAAGAGAGCAGCTATCCTATAACCTTGACCAAATAATCCTTCCAACAAGCCTGCAGTTTCAGGAGGGACACACATGGAATGAGCCGTGACAGGGGAAAGGGACACCAGCCTGGCCTAGCTGAATCAATTCTGATGATCAGTGGTCTGAGATGTCGCATCCAGATCACCCTCACATCCTAAACGCATTATTATTATTTTTATGCATGAAGGGAGCTGCTCAAGCCATTTTCAGCAACCCATAAATTGAAACGAGACAGCCTAGAGTTTGCATGGATTAGCTGCAGACTACTTTTGCTGTGCTACTCCACTAGAACTGAAACTGTTGCTTGCAAAAGTCTTGTTCCACAACAACAAGCTTCTGACTATCAAATGGAATGACATCAGGGCTATTGTTGCAATAATATACACCAGATTTTGCTGTGGAATCGTTCCTTAAATAGATGCACCCAGATGATTCAAGTGCAGGGAGTCCACCTCTGTTACAGAAACGTTTACACTGCCTTAATGATCCTGTCCACTCTCTCCTGCATTCCCCCAAATACTTCATGTCACTAACCTGCTTCTCATGTAATTGGGGAGTAGGAGAGCAAAAAGCAAACTCATTCAGAAATTGCTCCATGCTTTTATATCAAATGCTTGTGACCTGGTTCAGAGCTAACACGGCATGGCATCTTTCTGGATACTGTTTTCTCTGTTGATAAAATCTCAGAGATTAGCAGTGCTAAAAGCATGTGAAACATGCATTCAGTTTGGTTAATGTGTGAATGCAGAGATAACAATGTAAATTTACCTCATTACAATAATATGCACTACAATGGCTCTTTTTGGAATGCAATAAAAAGGCAGATGGGAGGCTATCCTGGCGCTTTGCAGCTTAAAGTGGCACAGTCAAGCACTTCGCTGTCAGAAATAAATCTCTTTATAGGTTAGTCTTGTACTATTATAGCACTGTAATCAGTGGAACCATCCTCCGAATGGACCAATTAAACATCGCGCAAAGATGTTCTTAGAGTTTAATTTCAGCAAAATCTCATTTGTTTGCAAAACTCTCTTAAAAGCCAAAGAACAATGTTCCTTTCTCCAACAATTATAACACCCTCTCTTTCAGTTTGGCACGCAATATGGTTGCTCCAGTTCAGGGCCTAGAAATTTTTTGGGGGGAGAGAACACAAGATTATGAAAGCAAACATTTCAAATGAGTAAAAGGTAAAGATAAAGGACCCCTGACAGTTAAGTCCAGTCGTGAACGACTCTGGGGTTGCGGCACTCATCTTGCTTTACTGGCTGAGGGAGCCGACGTTTGTCCGCAGAGAGTTTTTCCAGGTCATGTGGCCAGCATGACTAAGCCGCTTCTGGCGAAACCAGAGCAGCACATGGAAACGCTGTTTACCTTCCCGCCAGAGCGGTACCTATTTATCTACTTGCACTTTTAATGTGCTTTTGAACTTCTAGGTTGGGCAGGAGCTGGGACCAAGCAACGGGAGCTCACCCCGTTGCGGGAATTTGAACCGCTGACCTTCCAAATGGCAAGCCCTAGGCTCAGTGGTTTAGACCACAGCGCCACCCGTGGAAAAACCCACTTTAAAATAATTTTAAAATGCAATACCCAAGAAAAGTCAACCATCCACTGAAATTTCAGTAAAATCAGTTAAACTGATTTCAATGACTATACAGTATCACAGAATACACTTTAAACAACCTTAAAGGGAACGCAGCATTGTCTTACTTAATATCATTCAGAAGTCATTCACATCCACAGTCAGTAAATCAAGAAGGCTAGCTACATATAGACTGTGGTTCATATGAAGGGGTGGGATTTTGGATCTTGGGCTCCATGATCACTGCAGATGGTGACAGCAGTCACAAAATTAAAAGATGCCTGCTTCTTGGGAGAAAAGCGGCGACAAACCTAGACAGCATCTTAAAAAGCAGAGACATCATCTTGCCGACAAAGGTCTGTATAGTTAAAGCTCCATTTTCACTATCTTGCTTTCCCTAGTTTTTTGTTTTTATGACAACAAATTATAATCTCTATGGGTAGGGTTCTTTTGTTTCACTTCCCCCATCTTTAGATACATTTGTTTGTTTCCTCCTCTGCCCTTTCTTCCATCTCTTTTTAATTTTGTTTAACTTAATATACATTCAACAGCTAAACCTTAAAAAAATAAGATTTTCCACAATCTTTCACACATACACAGTCAAACACATTTCTACCTACATATCGCCATACACCAGTATATTATAAAAGGGTTGTGAAAAAGCCGCTTCACATGTTCCATATGGCTTAGAGTCTTAACGATCTTATTTTTCCAGATCTCCTAGCTCCCAGACAGTCTATATCTTCAATTTGTCCTTTACTTTCTCAATAGTCTGTATATTTTTCCCATCACATTTTCTTCCATATCTTAAAACTTCCCTGTTGCCCTTTTAAAGTGAAATGCTCATTTGCCAATAAAGATGCTAAATGCAGAGATGGGGGGGGGGATCATTGTTTATATTGATCCCAGATTCCTAAGCAAACATTTACTACACAGGATTCTTCTATGTAAACTGTTTTCCTAATCTTCTTATCCATTTGTCTTCTGCAATTTTCTTCTATGTTATACCACTGCCTTATACATGCTAGACCAGCAGCATCTACGTAATAGCTCCCTCTCTCCTACATCTTAGGGTGTCCAGCTTGTATTGCACAATGAAAATGTAAACATAACCATTGCACTATCTTAATTAATCTGTAGCAAAGGCTTCACTACTACGAGAGCAATACGATATAGATGTTTTTGAGCAACAGCATGAGATTCTTCAACATTTTTAAAGGAACTGGGCATGCTTAAACTGGGCATGTTAAAAAAGATAACAAAGACATTAGCATGTTCTCTGCTTTTGATTTTGTGTTTCCCAGTTCCATGCTTTTGGATATACGAGCTGTTCCTGAACATATAAAGGTGTGTGATATATATAGATACAGATATACAGCTACAGATATATAATCAAGTTTTTGTGTTGTTGTTTTGCAAAATAATATGGCTGCTTCTAAAACACAGCATGATACAGTTACATGTCTAAGGCTGACAGCAAATTACAACTGGAATCTATGCCATATTCTGACATACTTCAACCTTCAGAAGAGAAACGTAAAAGTAATCTAATTTGATTTCTCACCATGAGAATGTCTATGAGAAGTTCTTATTTCTGCTCCTGCTAAAAAAATGAATTAGCCTTAAGTCACAGTTCTGTACGAGCTTGTATTTTTTGAAAAATGTGATTTACAGTAATTACCTCTGCAAAGCAACATCAGACTGCCCCCCTTATGCTTTTGAAGTTCAGCCATTCAGAAAAGCCAAAGAGAACATCCTAGTCAAGTATATGACGAGTGGGAAAGGAAAGGGAATTGATTTTGTTTCCCTAGATATTACCTTGTCATTCACAGGAAAGTTTCTGACACAGAAGACCAAGTAAAATGCATTGGCCATGGAACGAGAAGAAAGAGGCCAGATTGACTCAAGCCATAAGGTACACTTTAATTATGCTGCTTCACTTCCGTTTTTTAGCAAGTATTCCTGGCAGTCCTCTCTACAGAGCTCAAGTTCGTTGGAGACCATTCAGAGGTAACAACTATGGAAATGTCAGGGTCACTGAACAGCTTGTGCCAGGTGTCACAGACAAAAGATCCTCTTTGAAAACCTAGCAACTTTGGATGACTCACACTAATAATTGTAGAAACATCTGACATCAACCAAAAATGCCTTTCTTTCCTTTATCTGGACACCACAATTGTCCTGGCTTCATTTGCTGTTGTA